CCAGAATGTGTCTGTGAAGTTTCAGCTTAAAATACTCCACAGATCATTTATTATATCATTTTGAAAATGGCTATTTTGAGTGGAAGCAGAAACACGTTGTTTTTCACACGGGCCTGTGTCTTTAAATGCAAATGAGCTGCTGCTCCCCGCCCCCTTTTCCAGAATAGAGCTGTGCCATTACATCTCGGACCTGCTAAAAAACATCTGTTTTGGTTCTGATTATCATGTTTATCGATCTGAAATCATGCGTTTTAAACCATAGGAGTTTAAACTTCTGATATATGGTTTGAGTGCACATGGACAGAAAGTGGCTGTCACAGCATGTGAGTACTAAACTAAGTTCTCTTGCATGTCTTATTGCGCTTAAACGGTCAAATACACACAAGTTTATGTTAAAAACACACAAGTTACAAAAACAGTCGGTTATGTCTGTGGAGGTAAACAGCTGGGAAATAAATCACATGTTTATTTTAGATCTGTGTGGCAGCAGCAATATACAGTAAATTAATCAATATATCCACTGCTTGTCTCCTCTGAGGCTGGGACTGTAAACAGTGTTCTGTGCTCGTCTGTGCAGCCAAAGACAGAACAGTTAGCATGTTCTGCTCAAACTTTCGCCATGGCATTAGACCGTTGTCGCTTTCGAAATCAAAATGACGGCGCCATGGGTGGAAACTTACAGATTAAGGGGCGGTAATATTATAATGAGATCCTTTCTACGTCACAGGGGGAGCGAAATCAGACTAAATCTTTTTTTTTCCACAAGCTTGCAAAAAAGGCTTACCAAAACAAAGTTACTGGGTTGTCCTTTTCGTGTTTCCTGGGTTGGTAGATGCACCTGTGACCCGATTATAGCACTTAAACAGGAAAAGGTCCGATTTTCATGATATGTCACATTTAATGCATCTAAATACAGACTTCCTGTTTTCCTTCCGTTTGGTTTTGTCGTGAAATATGACCTGCTCTTGACAGGTTTGGTGAGATGCACAGAGAAGTTTTTGGATACTTGTGGTTTTGTGTTTGGATAGTTTGAGTTGTTTGTACTGGCGCACACACACACACACACACACAGGTTTGTTTTTATGGTTTATGAGGACTCTCCATAGGCGTAATGGTTTTTATATTGTACAGACCGTATTTCCTATTGCCCTACACCAGGGGTGCCCAACCCTGCTCCTGGCGATCGACTGTCCTGCAAAGTTAAGCTCCAACTCTAATCAAACACACCTGCCTTTAATGTTTAAGTGATCCTGAAGACCCTAATTAGTTGCTTCAGGTGTGTTTGATTAGGGTTGGAGCTGAACTTTGCAGGACAGAAAGAAAACAACATCAGCCAAAGGAAAACTACAAAGTGTCATATTGTATACTTTATCATTTTTCTTTCTTTCTGATGACTACTTGTAATGTTTGTCAAGGTTTCTTGTGCCAAAAGGCTTGTTTTTTTTCCTTTTTGGCCCTCCATCTGACCAATATAATTCAATGTGGATGGTTATTATGTTAATGAATCATTATGAATATTTATGAAGTGCTCATTAATATTTTATTTGATTCATTAATAATGTATTAATTTATTAAATATGTATTTATTTTGTAGTCACTTCATTTACATTTTTATTAATTACTTTTATTTTACTTTATTTATTTTCTGTAAACTTTAAAGATATATTTAATTCATTAAAATTAATTCATCTTAATTCATTTTATCATGTACTTACTTTATTTGTTTATTTATTTAAATCCTTTTACACAAATGCAATAATGTTTTATAGTTGTCAAGCATAATATAACAATCAAAGATTTTTCCACACTGAAAAAAATGTTTCATTCATCCAATTAAAAAAATGTAAAATTTTAGTTGAAATCTATGAATGTACGGTAGGTTTTTAAACATTTAATTTAATTTATTGTTTTATTGTCCCTGATTTAATCAGTTCAGTTTGAATGAAAACAGGAAATGCTAGTATGAATAAATATTTAGATTGAATTGCTTTTTAGGTGATTAAATGATTATAATGATATAATTATTGCCAATCACACAATACAATATCATTATAATTTTTATTTTTTTTATTGTATTGTGAAAGAAATATATTTATAAATAAATAAATCAACTCAGAATGATATAAAACGCCTTCCTTTCCTTTAATGAGTAATGTTTGCAGCTTCAGCTGTCTAGTGTCTAGTGTTCATGGTGTTTCGTGTGTGAAGCTGAAAGTCTCTGCAGGTTTGTGTAATTTCAGGCTTGTGTAGTCTGAGTTAATGAAGCTGTCAGAGGCTCCGGTGCTAATTAGAGTTTGTCAGTGTGAATCTGCTGGTGAGTGTTAATCAGTCTCATTGTGAAAGCGCTGATACGAGCAGGTGCGAGTGAATGTGGCTGTTGTTTTGCGGGTTTCTGAGCGCTGGCATTGATGCGCGTGACGCGGCACCCGCAGGAGCTCATTACAACCCTCGGCCCCAGAGGATTCTGGGTTATGGATGAAGCTCAGGTTAAACAAGCTCCTGCTGCTGCTCTCAGTCCACAGGAAGTGGCAGAGATCATTTACTAATGCAATAGGTCAAGCACTGCAGTGATTTTCCAGCGTTACATGACTCCGTGCCTTTAAAACACCCTTAAGTCAAAGGAACTCAAGGCTTTTGTCTTTATAAAACTGTTGCATTGCTTTTTTTTTTTATAGATGATTAAATGTATTATTATTGTGGATCACAATATACAGTAATATTTGTTTTATTTCTTGTTTTTTATTTTTATAAATTATTTTATTTTACTGTGTTAAATATTTATATTTATTTTTATGATTTTGTTTTAAATACATTTAACACACACACATAGATTAATAAGGTTAATTTATAATAATGCAATAAGTCAGGCATTATAATGATTTTACTGCATTTATATGAAGCAGAGCGTTTAAAACTAGGGCTGCGCGATAAATCGTATGCGATATTTAATGCGCATCTTGTCAGTATTTAATTTATTTTGCATTTATTTACTTATTGCAAATAACAATAGACAATGCAATATTTATGTTATTTCTAAATGTATTTATTTTTATTTTATTAAATTATTTTGTTATTCAGTTTTTTATATATTTATTTTATTTTGTATTTATTACAACCTTTTTAGATGATTAAATGTATTATGACCGATCACAATATACAATATAATACTTATTTTATTTCTAAAATGTACTTATTTTAAAAATTAGTTACTATTTCACTTTTCAAAATTACTTACTATTCAAATTTGTATGTATTCAGGTTATTTTGTAATTATCTACTTACAATTTTTTAGATGATTAAATGTATTATGACCGATCACAATATACAATATAATACTTATTTTATTTCTAAAATGTACTTATTTTAAAAATTAGTTACTATTTCACTTTTCAAAATTACTTACTATTCAAATTTGTATGTATTCAGGTTATTTTGTAATTATCTACTTACAATTTTTTAGATGATTAAATGTATTATTGCCGTTCACAATTTATAATATTTCATTTCTAAATGTGTTATTATTTTTTTATTTTGTTATTCATATTTTATGCATTTATTTTATAATTATCTACTAAGATTATTTTATGGTTAAAAGTATTATCGCAGTCAAAAATTACAATATAACATTTATTTTTAAATTGGTTTATCGTTATTAATTATTTGTATTCGATTTTAATATATTTATTTTACAATTACATTTTATTTATTTTTTTATAGTTTTTTTCATCTGTCAGGTATAACACTCAATGGATTGTTCCATTGACAAATGCGTTTACTTCTATTAATGTTGGTTTTAAATTAAACTATACAATTTTTTTGCATTTTATTGTTATTATTGTCAGTTTGGATGAATTACAGAAGCAGTGCTGGTATGAATGAATAAACCAAAGCTGCTCATGAATCATTTGTGTTGTAGTGAAACTGTGCCATGAGTAAAGATCCAGGACCTGTTTGAGACCTTCAGTGTGAGTTCATGTGTTTGTCTGTCTTCATCCTGAAATAACCCCAGGGCTCTGAACGTGTCACCTGTCATCCGGGTCAGTCGTCCCGTGAGTAAACACTCCCCGGGAAACCAGTCCGTCCCGCTGAACCGGATGATTCCAGAAACCCTGAGCTTCTGTAATACACAGACACCCTCTCAGATTACTGCATCACAGAATCAAGGCAAACCCGCATCTGTTAGTGTCCCGTTTGTGAGTTTTTAGCATGAGCGCTGCCATATGTTAGCTGTGTTCCCGCCCGAGGCCTCGCACTCTTTGTCAAACATGAAACCTCTTAAAGAGAATTAAAATCATGTTTTCAGCAGCCGATGAAAACCTCCTGCGGCACAGACGTCGAAACAACCAAACCAACGGAAGATTAGTTCAGCAGCACAATCTGACTGAAAAATCACCCTAATGATTTATTGCATTAGTAAAATAATGAAAAAACGAAATAAAATATTCAAAATAGATAATAAATATATGTGAAATAATTACAAATGTATCTTTTGTATTCAATTGTTTCCTTGTAATTTTATAATAAATGCATGTTTTTAATACAATACAGTCATCTATAAGATAATAAATAAGCACCAAATATTAGTAAAAATGCGCAGCAATCACTATTTGCTTAGTACCTTCAGTAGAAAATACAACATCCCAGTTTTTTTTCCACACTTATTTTTTCCACTTTTAAAACATGAATTATGCACATATTTTAATGATTTTACCAATAAAGCATCAGATACTCACATTTATTTATTGTATATCGATATTTTATTATTGCATTTATTTATCTTTTTTAATTTATCATTTATTTGATTTGATATTTACTATGAGTACATTTTATTTGTATTTTATTTTATTTATTTATTTCAATGTTATGATTATTTGAAATTGTATTTCCCCTGTGAGTTCAGGAATGATTCCTGCATTCAGACACAGAAAGTTAATTTATATGATTTTTATCCTGTATGTAAATGTTATTCTCTCTCTCTCTCTCTCTCTGTGTCAGGTGTGTTGTTCTCTGAGGTCCGTCGACCGTGTGGCGTGATGGTATTGGTCAATCCTCAGAGTGGGCGGGGCCAAGCAATTGCTCTCTATAATGGCCACGTTCAGCGGATGCTCACCGAGGCGGATATACCACACACACTCTTCATTACAGGTGTGTAAGACACACACACACACACACACACACACACACAC